TAATACCCTCTAGGTCCCTCCATGTTGTTGCAAATGATAAGATTTCATTCTTTTTTTATGGCTGAGTAATATTCCTTTGTATATATGTACCACATCTTCTTTATGCATCTTTTGATTGGAGCATTTAATCCATTTACATTTAAAGTAATTATTGATAGGTATGTAGTAATTGCCATTTTATTAATTGTTTTCTGAATGTTCTGTTCCTTTCTTATTCTCTTGCTCTTTTCTCTTGTATATTGATGACTTTCTATAGTGTTGTGTTTGGATTACTTTCTCTTCTATGTCTTGTAGGTTTTTGGTTTGTAGTTACCATGTACTTCATATATACCAAACTATGTTTATAGCAGTCTATTTTTTTGTTTGTTTGTCTTTTAGCTGAGCCATCCTGCCATCTGTTGGCAGCTCAGCGGCAGCTCAGCTCAGGCCGGGACTCAAACTGCTGTTGCTCAGAGCTCGCTCACTTAACCAACTGAGCCACTCGACCAGCCCATATAGCAGTCTATTTTAAGTTGATGGTTGCTTAAGTTTGAACACGTTCGAAAATCACTACCAATTTACTCACCCCCTCCACGTATATGTATTTTTATATTTTACTTCTTTTGTGTCTGTGTGTTTGTGTGTATCCCTTAATTTACTGTTGTACTTACACATGATCTTCCTACTTTTGCCTTTTAACCTTTGTACTAGCTTTAGTGTTGGTTGATCCACTGCTTTTATTATGTTTGCCTTTGTCAGTGAGATTGTTTTTTCTTTGCGATATGTTCTTATTCATATTTTTAATTTTTTCTTTTTCTTTTTAAAGAAGTCCCTTTTACATTTCTTGTAAAACTGGTTTGATGGTGATGACCTCCTTCAGCTTTTCTTGTCTGGGGAGCTCTTTATCTCTCCTTTGATTCTAAATGATAGCCTTGCTAGATAGTGATCTTGGTTGTAGGTCCTTGTTTTTCATCACTTTGAATATTTCACGCCATTCTCAGTCTAGTGCTCTTTTCACTATGTCACAAGGGACACTGGAGACTCCAGCAGTTGCAGACCTTTTTCATTGTGTGCATGTGATATGTATTTGAATCTAATGATTTCACTTGTGTTGTGTATGCATAGGATAATCTCTAATTTTCAGACTCTTGGGATGACTGGCAGAGCCCCAAGTTCTTTGGTGGAAAGGGATTATTATTCCAAAGACTAATGGGTGATATTATATTAATAGAATCATATGTGATGTATAATTAATGCATGGTGTATAACATAGAATAGTGTATAATGAATAATTAATAATGAATTAATGAAAAGAATGAGATAAGCATGTTAAATGATTGGGGAAACTTCTGTGCTTCCTAAAATGATTATGGCAATTTGTACCCCAACATTCAAGACCTGGCAAAGTGGATATAGTTGGAGACTCCAGATCTACTCAGGGCAATGATGAAAGGGCCACCAAATGTCATTCATTGCTCTTCTTTTCAGGTCTCCTGGACACATTGATAGAAATGAACACAATCCTGGAAGACATTCAGAAGTCTCTGGATATGTATTTAGAGACCAAGCGCCATACTTTCCCCCGCCTCTACTTCTTATCTAATGATGACCTCCTGGAGATTCTGGGCCAGTCTCGCAACCCAGAGGCTGTGCAGCCACACCTCAAAAAATGCTTTGACAACATCAAATTGCTGAGAATGCAGAAGGTCAATAGAAGTGGCCACAATGGGATGGAAAGCAGGGGAGGGATGCTGATGTCAAGGTATTCAAAGGCCTTGATGGGACTATGCCCTCCCAATAGGAGTGGGATATTAATGATTCTGGAATATCTGGGATAGAACTTTTTAGAATTGGTAATTTTGAGGGCAGGGGAGAGGAACAGAAATTACCCTCAAAGGGCCCAAATACCTTCTAGGCAGATAGCTGGAGTGGGCAGGTCAGGCTATGAATAGCTTCTTTTTTCTACAGGTTGGGGGACCCAGCAGCAAATGGGAAGCTGTGGGAATGTTCTCAGGTGACGGCGAGTATATTGATTTCCTCCATTCAGTACTTTTAGAAGGGCCTGTAGAGGTGAGTTGTGGTGACGGTTTAAGAATCAAGCTGATTCTTCTTCCCATTAGGAAGTTTGCTAGGTTCTGTGAGGAAAGAATGTTTCTGTGAAGAGACATTAGTCACTTTTTGCCCTCCTACTGACTGTTCCTAAAAACTGTAACTTCTTCCCTGAACCTGAAAATCAATCTGCCTCCTGGCTTTCATGTCCCCCAGGGGCCCAAGCCAGAAGCTGCCCAGGTCTGGCTTTCCTCTTGGGTCCAAGCCCTGCAGTCCTGTTTTTTAAGCACCTTTCCTCTGGGGACTCTTATCTCTGGCTCTGAGGATGAGCCATCTTGTCCCCCCCCCCACACACAGTCCTGGCTTGGCGATGTGGAGCGGACCATGAGAGTAACCCTGCGGGACCTTCTCCGGAACTGCCGCCTGGCCCTCAAGAAGTTTCTTAACAAGAGGGACAAATGGATAAAGGAGTGGGCTGGCCAGGTGAGCTGAGTCAGTAGAAATGAGGGAACATGAAAGATAGGGCTGAAAGGGAGCAGCAAATGTAAAGGCAGAATCTTGAGTCTCAAAATGCGGATTTTTTGCCCCTTTCTGGGCTGTGGCCCTGGAACCCTGCATGCCAGACCCTAAGCTCCTGATGGTAGACATTTGACCCATCCTTCAGAGCAGATTAACATATTGAGAGGAGTAGCACCTGGTCCTGGGAGAAGCTGGGATTTGGGAGCTGGGCTCTGTGGGTGACCAGAGACAGGGCTTTGGAATACAACCTCTGCACATGCCTTAGATGGTGATCACTGCCAGTCAGATCCAGTGGACAGCTGATGTTACCAAATGCCTGCAGACTGCTAAGGAGCGGGGAGACAAGAAAATCCTCAAGGTCATGAAGAAGAAGCAGGTGGGGAAGCCTACAAGTATGTGATAAGCTTGGAGTTAGAGTTGAAGAGGGGGGATGATAAATTGGAGTCAATATTAGAGATGGGGAAGGGTCAAAGTGAGGGTGCTTTATGGGAAAAGTCCAGTGAGGAAAGTTTGAGTGGATTAGAAGAACATTTTCCTGTGCTGATATTGGAGGTTAGGAATTATAATGGGGTTGGGATTAGCATTGGGGTTGAAAGTGTTAGGCTGGGATGAGGCATGATTGACTGATTGCATTGCCCCACCCACTCTCTTCCCTACCACTTCATTCTACAGGTGTCAATACTGAATAAATATTCAGAAGCTATCAGGGGGAACTTGACCAAGATCATGCGGCTTAAAATTGTGGCTCTGGTGACCATAGAAATTCATGCCCGAGATGTGTTGGAGAAGCTTTATAAAAGTGGCCTCATGGATGTCAATTCTTTTGACTGGCTCAGCCAACTGCGCTTCTATTGGGAGAAGGTGCAGATGGGCTAGCTCCCCACTCTTGTAACCTAAACCTGATCCTAATGCATTAATTAAATTCCTACTCTCTAAATACAATAATATCCTAATCACAGTGCCCTGATCCAGTTCTTAATTCTATCACAAGTCTCCTAAGTCAGGAGTCACAAACCATCTTCCAGTCAGTGTTCACTATGTGTGTCACTTGACCAGGATTCAGAAAGTCTTCAGGCAGCTGCTGCAATGGATTGCAGTGTACAGGCAATACAAACCCATTTTCCATCTTGGCCATAAACTCTTTTTTCCTCCTAACTCTAAACTGAACCCCTCCTCTTCAAACTGTAACCTCCCCACCATCTCCAGCCCTACTCTCAGTCATTGCCCAGTTCTAACTCTTCCTCCAAGCCACCTCTCTCTTACTGTGCTCTGTTTCTCCAGGATCTCGATGATTGTATGATCCGCCAGACCAACACACAATTTCAGTATAGTTATGAGTACTTGGGTAACTCTGGCCGGCTTGTCATCACCCCTTTGACAGACAGGTCAGTCATGTGGGATGAACAAAGGGGTTGGGGTGGGGGCAGCAAATGCTGAGTGAAGGTTTCCAGGAGTCTGACTTGAGTTTTGTCCTCAATTCATAGGTGTTACATGACACTGACCACAGCATTGCACTTGCATCGAGGGGGCTCCCCCAAAGGTCCAGCAGGCACAGGAAAGACTGAGACTGTCAAGGACCTGGGCAAGGCCCTCGGCATATATGTCATTGTGATCAACTGCTCCGAGGGTTTGGACTATAAATCCATGGGCCGAATGTACTCAGGCCTGGCCCAGGTCAGCATCCTGCCACCCGGTCCCAGAGGTCCCTTAAATACCTTTAGTCCCAGAAAATCAACTGGAACCCAAACCTAGTTCAGTGCTTTGTAACTTACAGCGTTGCTTCGCCTCGGTTAGTTCTTATAATTGGGGAAGTTCCTGCATCTCTCTGAGCTGCACTTTGCTTATTTGCAAAATCAGAAGATTATGTAAGGATTAAATAAGATAATGCATGTAAACTGGTGCATAGTGTAGGCACTCAGTGCTCACAAGTTCCCTACCCTGGTCTCTTTCCAACCCACTCATTTTCTAGCATTCCCCCAGATTGTCCATGTCTGATGGAAAGCTCTGGTCAGAAACTACAACAGTGCTATTCTGGGCTCCCATATCCCGCACCCCCAACATTTTGGAGGCTGCTTCACCTATCAAAATACTTCAGGAAGGGCTATGTTAGTCACACTTTCTAGTTTCTCCCAATCTGAGGTACTTCTCTTGCTCCCAGTGACTCTGTCTCCCACCCCACAGACGGGTGCCTGGGGCTGCTTTGATGAGTTTAACCGAATCAACATCGAGGTGCTATCCGTGGTGGCCCAGCAGATCCTGTCGATTCTATCCGCTCTGGCTGCCAGCCTCACCCGCTTCCATTTTGAGGGCTTTGAGATAAATCTGGTGTGGTCTTGTGGGATCTTTATCACCATGAACCCTGGTAAGAGCCAGGGAGTAGATGGGGCTCCTAGGGAGAGAAGTCGGTGTCCAGGGCAAACAACTGTGTCCTCCATTCCCCACTTTCAAGCCAGTGTATTTAGCCAAGTGAAACATGGCTAAAGACAATAAAGTGTGAGGGAAGGATAAACATGTGACTTTCCAGGAGAAGGTGGGGCAATCTTACTGTTCTCCCTAAAGGGATTAATAACTGCTATGTGTATATATGTAGCCACAGGCTTTGAAGGTACTTAACTATCTTCTCCTATTGGGCTAGCTCCCAGAGGTCTGGTTTATCTGCTATCCCTTTTGAGAATAAGAGAATCTCCCCAAAGTGCAGGCACTAGGGTTTCTCATTACTGTTCCCTAGGAATTTCCCTGGGAGAAGGGTCTAGGAGAAAACAGGAAAGGGTTTAGGTACTGAAAGAATCAGAAACAGCTGTGATTTCTATTAGGACTGATGTGAATTATACAATGGAACTTGGAGAGATGAAAAAATGGCAGCTCTGTGATTTGAATTTGGAACAGGGCCATGCAGACAGTAAGGAAAGGCCCAGAGATAGGAAAGAGAAGCAAATAGGTATGGGGGGAGCCAGGGCCCAGATGAAAAGGGACGAGATCTTGGAGTTGGAGTTGGGGAGAAAGTTAGGAATGGAGCTAGGGCTGGGAAAATGGGATTGATTGGGGAGTGGGTCTTTGGGAAGCGGTATGGATTCTAACAAATGGTGCTGTTTTCCAGGCTACGCTGGTCGCACAGAGCTTCCTGAAAATCTTAAATCCATGTTCCGTCCAATTGCTATGGTGGTGCCTGATTCTACTCTTATTGCAGAAATTATTCTGTTTGGGGAGGGCTTTGGCAACTGCAAGGTATTCCACTAATCTCTTTTCTCCAATTATTTTATTTCCCTTCCATGATTAGTCCCTGGATAGACTCTGTGAAGGCCCCACAATCAGTTTATCCTACGAGGAACACAGATTACTGTCAATAGGATATGGAGGCAGAAATATTCAGAGGTCTCTCCTCTGTGATGTCACTAATCCATGATGGCACCATTCACAGGGTTTTCTCATTAGGATTGTCCATAGAGCACCTCCCAGCTGCTTCAAGTCCTGGGACCTAGTTTCTTGTAGCCATAACTGTCCCTAGATGAAGCAGAAGGATTTGTAGGGAGATGGGTTGTTTCCTTCTCTGTTTTCATTCCCCAGATTCTAGCCAAGAAGGTGTACACACTTTACTCCCTGGCTGTGCAGCAGCTTTCCAGACAGGACCATTATGACTTTGGCCTACGTGCCCTCACCTCCCTTTTGCGCTATGCTGGCAAGAAGCGCCGCCTGCAGCCAGATCTGTCTGATGAAGAGGTAGATCAAGGACACAGCTCTTGAACCTTAACCTCCATCGTCACTGGTCCTGGGCACCTTCACTAAAGTTTTTCAGATCCTTTCTTTCCCCGAATTGGGATTCCCACCTTTCTTCCTGTCCCCTGTGTTGCCTGAGTTTTATCTGTCATATTTTTAAAGATTAGTTCAGGTGTATCCATTGTTTTTGGCTCCTGCTCCTCACCCTTTGGAGAGGAAGGGCCTAGTGAGTACCTAGGCCCTGGCTCCTCCAGCCTGACTCTCTGTCTTTTCCCACCTAGGTTTTGCTGCTCTCAATGAGAGATATGAACATTGCCAAACTAACTTCAGTTGATGTGCCACTCTTCAATGCCATCGTGCAAGATCTATTCCCTAGCATTGAGCTATCCGTCATTGATTATGGCAAGGTATTTGTTCCTTAATACTCTTCCTGACTTCATATGTGAATGTAGGTCTGGGAACATGACACTTCGTTCCCAGGCCTTGTTCTGCCATTCACTAGCTGTGACTTTGAACAAGACAGTTGGCCTCTCTTTGGGCTTCCGTATCTATAAGAGGATTTACACCTATTCAAACATTCTACTCTCTCACCACAACTCCCTACCCACCCACCCACCCACCCGACTCACTGGCTCAGGTACTTCCACTCTTCAGCTCTTTAACTTCATTGAGATTTCTAATCCACTGACCTTTCTATTTTCTCTATACCCATCACCCTCTCCTGCCTCCACCTCTCTCCTCATTCAGGGAGTTTTGTGAAGAGATTGCTAGGAGCTATTTGATATGTAAAAGCAGTGGAATGGAAGTGGAGGAGGAGGATTTTAGAAAGTGCAGGAATTTTCTTTTCTGGAAATATGGCAGTTTAGATACCCAGGATGATCCTTTCCACTGAAACCACTAAAATGAGGGATGGATAAAAGTATATAAAATATATATTTTTAAATGCATTGCTAAGCTGGCAAAAAGGGAAGAATTCTGGGATGGGGAGAAGGGGATAAAAACAGGGAGATAAATGAATGTGAAATCTGGCTTTATCCCTGAAAATTTTTTGTCAGGTTTAAGGCACTGGGAGAGGAGATAAAGCAGCCCAAGTTTGGAGGTACAATAGAAAATCCAGTCCTGTATAAACCTCAGTCTGCAAGGGAAAACACCCTCAGTAAATGGGAAAATCAGAAACCTGCCACTGAGAATGGTCCATACAGTAAAGAAACTTGCTTGTCTTGACCGATGATGGGAGGAGGGGGTAAAATCTCCTTTGAGATTTCCTAACCATAAGCCACCCTCACATGGTCTTTGGTCATAATTTATTCTACTGTGTAATCCCAAAAATCTCAAACTTAAAACTTAATTTTAAGTAGTTCCAGATTGTTAGCTTCCCCCAGGTGACTGGCAGAAGCCAATGCAAATTATTTCTGGAAGAATGAAATTACAACTCAAGCCTCAAAGAATTCTAAAAATTCAAGATAAAACTCCAAGAAAATGAGTAGCTTCTGGTCAAAAATCCCAAAACACACAACAGAACAAGATACCATGAATGAGAAGCAGAAGAACAACAGAACAGCAGAATCAGATCCCCAAAGACTTCAGATACTGAAAATAATCAGCACAGAATTTTAAAGTAACTAAATTTAATATGTTTAAAGAAATAGAAGAGAAGCTTGAAACTATAAGCCAGGAACAAGAGACTTCTAAACTAAGCATATTTGTAAAAGAACCAATAGAATTTCTATAAATGAAAAAATATAATTGAAATAAAAAAAACAACTCAATGTATAGAGGGAGTACTTCCAGGTAAGGAAGGTGAATTAAAAACAATTTTGTTACCTTTTGAAAATACTCTAAAGAGAATTTTTTTTAAAAGATTTTTTTTTTATTGGGGAATTGGAGGGATGGGAACAGTGCTGGGGAATTGGGGGGAAGGGGAACACACAAGTTGTTGTCCTTTTTGTTCTTCAGTCTAGTTTTAAAGAGAATTTTT